ATTACATAAGTGTCCTTACAGACAACGTTATACTGATGGGTTTTCAAAATGCTCCACGAAACCTTTTTCTAAATTATTCAAATCAATTTTATCAGCAATCAAAGCCGGGCTTCGAAGTTATTGTGAAATTGCCTATTGTAGAGGTGGCAAGAATCAGATTTGGATATTAAAAAATTCCAAAGATCTTTTAGAGTACATACAATCTTATACTCTTTTATCTTGTAACAGTATTAGTATTGAAACATTTGACTTTTATACACTTTTTATACCCATTGCAAACTAAAAAACAAATTAAAAGAGTTGGTTTTGCTTTGTTTCATAAAAATGAATGGTCAACGTAGATACAAGTATCTTGTCTTAGGAAGGGATAAAACGTACTTTGTAAAAAATCTCTCTGATTTAAACAAAGTTAATTAACAATTCTCTGAAACTGACATTATCAAGATGCTTGATTTCTTCATTGATAACATATTTGTTACGTTTGGAGGACGTTTTTTTCAACAAACAATCGGCATTCCCATAGGAACCAACTATGCTCCTCTTCTTGACGACTTATTCCAAAGAGGCTGACATCATACAGGAGCTTCTTAGGAAGTAAGAAAGGAAGTTGGCATTATCATTTAACATGACTTTCCGCTGTATAAATGATGTTCTCTCACCTAAATAAGTTTGGTGACTTTATCGAATGCATCTATCCCATCGAACTTGAGATAATGGATACAACAGATACAGTTAAGTCTTCATCATATCTTGACTTAAATCTAGAAATTGACAATGAGGGTCGGTTGAAAACAAAACTTTACGACAAAAGAGATAATTTCAGCTTCCCAATTGTGAACTTTCCACTTCTATGTAGCAACAGTCCAGCAGCGCCTGCATATGGAGTATATATCTCCCAGTTGATACGTTATTCTAGGGCTTGTATTTCCTATTATAACTTCCTTGATAGAGAGTTGCTGCTTATTAGGAAGCTATTCAACCAAGAGTTCTAAATGGTTAAGTTGAAATCATCCCTTCGTAAATTTTACGGACGCCATCACGAGTTGGTTGATCGTTATGGAATATCTGCATCACAGATGACGACGGATATGTTTCAATTGTCGAAACCACAATCCCGTCCTCTTTTCCCTGAATGTGACCTACCGAATTAGACTTATCACTGGGTTTGCACTTACACGAGCACACGACGGGTGCCACATGTGGAGTAGGATGTGCCTACCCTTCCGGAGCACTTGAGATCACCCGCGGTTTTTGGTGGGGTTCATGTTGGTCAGTGTTTAGTTTTCTATGTTATGTTTTGTGTACTGTTGTTTGTATTTTGGTCTTTTTCGGGGTTTTTTTTGCCATTGCGTTGTTAGTTTATTTTCGACTTATGAACTTGATGTCCCATTGGTATCTTTCTCCTCCCTTTGTTTATAAAAAATAAAGTTTTACGTTTTCTAGCACTTGAAATCAGTCGAGAGTGTGCGATCTCGCAGAAAATGGAATGGTCAGCTACCACATCATAAATTAATTCTAATACAATTGTCGTTTGTATATTGGTAAATATTACCAACCATTTTAAGTTTCCTCAGCACATCATGGATTGGTAGTATTACAGGAGTAGTTAAATCATTTCGTCCCACCTTTTGACTCATTTTCCTAAATCTACATTCTGACAAGAATAATACTCACTATGTTGGCACGCTTGAAAGGCATGCTGTTGTTTTTCTCATGTGTACTTATATATATAATAAACTGGAACGCAAGATAATTAAAGTACAAAATGTACAATTTTTTTCTATTTAAAGGAAAAAATATTATTAGATTTTTTTCCTTCTTAAATAGATAAGTGCTTATTTAATGTTTCACTTATATGCTTATAGAACGAGTATGCACTATATTTTTCATCTGACCTAATAATGTGCAATACAAACTTGCATATATTACTTTCCTTCAAAACTTTTATTCATCTCGACAGAAAAACAGGGATAGTCTTATCATTAATTAAATGTTCTATTTTTGTATGCTGATCTTGGTATTTCACGGTACAAGGAATTTAAGACAAGCTAAATAGTACTATTTATTGTCTCCATCAGAATATACAATGTTTTAATGTAAAAGAAAATGACCAGGAAACACAATATGCATGCTTCTACTTATTTTTACATTTCACTTGTGAAATGGCAGGATATTAGGTTTCAGTCTTTAATGCTTGTTTCGTTATAAAGTACATTTTTTGTAGAACATATGGACGAAAATCCATTAGTAACATTTCATCAGACAATTTTTTTAGTGTAAAATCTAAACCAAGCAAAGCCTGTTTATGAAACACGGGATCAACATTTTGCCACAGAAATGTATTGTATCTTTAACAGTGTCAAATCAAAATTTATTGGCATTATGTTCATTAAAAAGAAAATCATACTTTTATGTCGAAATAGAGTTCTGTCGAAGGTCTACTTTGAATGAATGCACACAATTTAGCTTTTACACCTCAATCCGGTTAATTCGAAAACAATGATAAAAAGGTAAAAGGACAAGAAGGTCAATTATTGAAATCTATACAGGTCTTCTTATACTCATAAACATTATTAAAAATCTCATTATAACTAACAATTATTACTTAACATTGACATCATATTTACTCCTAAACAGTAGAAAAAGTCTTATTTTACTGTATTAAGATATATTTCGTTCTCGAAAATACAGAGGACATGCTTGAATGTTTCAAAATAAAATGTATCAAACCTTAGATAAAAATAACACACCAAGATATTTTATTGTAACCGTGTACACACTTTATGTTTGAAGAATGAAACATGAGAAAATTAGTAAAAACTGTCAAAATACTGACCAGAAATGCCCTATACAAAAAAAGTTAGGAATTGAACAAACTGTATCATTTTTAGTGATTTCATTTTTTCTATCTCATTAATAATAAACTCATTATAGATACCAGGATTACAATTTTGTACGCCAGACCACAGGAACTTGTCTCTGAAAAAAGTTCCTATACACCTTAATATAACACAAGGTACTTAACTCGCATCTTTGAAAAATGTCACCCGGTCGCGAACTTCCGTTATATTTCAATTTCTCGGTTGTCAACCCCACTAAAATTTGTTATGCAGTAAATATAAATTGATTAATGTACACAATGGTGTATAACACGCCTACCTTTGTTGTCGGAATCATTCGTAGCAGGCCTCCCCAAGTATGTCAACCGTAATTATTTCGTACGTTGAAGAGCATTGAGGACTCAAAATCCCGAGTATTGCCAAATACGCGCATTTCGTCTACAAAAGACTCATCTGTGACGGTCTAATAAAAAAAGTTAAAAGCCCAAATAAAGTACGAAGTTGAAGAGCATTGAGGACCCAACATTCCGAGTTTTGCCAAACACAGCTATTGTAATATATTCCTGGGGTAGAAAATCCTCAGTATTTCGAAAAATTTAACGTTTTTTTGTAAACAGTTATTACCATTAATGGCATTAACGGTGCCAGTTTTGCTGCATCAAATTTCGACAATAAATGTCTCTCCAGTGATGCCCGAGACCAAAATAGTCCGTTAAAAATTTTTGACCTTAATAGATTATTTCCAAACTTTTAACTGTCCAACACCAGTAGTTCATATAATTCAATCTAAGATATGGTAGAGTTATTTAGTTTGGAATGTTCTTACTCTATTCAATAGCAAATCCTCTATACAGAATCATGAAACCATATACAAACAGCAGGATTGAATTGAAAGCGTTTCGTTTACACTACTGGATCGCCAAAACTTACAACTGTTAAATAGGCGAGACCTTGAACATTCAAAACTAGGCAACCACCCGATCTTCCGCCCCATTAACTAGTCAATTAAAACGAATGATTTTCATTTGACAGTTTAGTACCTACTTGTTATTGTACAACTCAAGTTTCATTTTTGAAAGTCGAACGTTAACTATTTTAAGTAAACTTTCACGCCTTTTTGCGTCTGTCCCAAGTCAGAAACCTCTGGCCTTTGTAAGTCTTGTATATTTTTTTTTTAGTTTTGGTTCATTTATATGTTTCGGAGTTAAGTATTACGTCTATTTTCACTGAACCAGTAAACATTATTTTTAGAGGCCAGCTGAAGCACGCCTCCGGGTGCGGGATTTTCTCGCTGTGCTGAAGACCCATTGGTGGCCTTGAGCTGTTTCTGTTCTTTGGTCGGGTTGTTGTCTCTTTGACGCATTCCCCATTTCCATTCTCAATTGTTTTCCTTCTCCTTTGATCGTTGATAAATATAGATCACCGACTCTTTTAACTTTATCAGTATTTGACACTGGTATGCGACAGTTGTCACTATTTGAGAAGGAATTGCTAACCCTTCCAAACACCTGAGTAAACCTCCAATTTTTTAGTGGCGTTCGTGTTGCTAAATATTAATTATTTGTCTGGTGTTTAGTGGATTACTAGATATAGGAAGATGTGGTATGAGTGCCAATGAGACAACTCTCCATCCAAGGTACAATTTATAAAAGTAAACCATTATAGGTCAAGGTACGGCCTTCAACACTGTTTATTTGTTTTGTCATGATGTTACATTGTAGCGTCGGCCTTCAACCTACGTTTTTTTTTTATTCTTTCTTGGTTTACACCCAACACGGTAGGTTTTTAAATAGTGGTTGCCTTTAGAAATTCTTTTTTTACACCTTAGTTTACAGCACTGGTCTTTTTGCATCGATAAAAAGACATGAAATAGTTGTAGAAGTCAATCTTCTTTCCTTTGGAAGTTAGTCGGTATATTCGTTGGAATTCATAAAAAAAAATCCATTGATAATAGATAACAATTAAGAACTGGCATTTGTACAATACCATAAACTCTTTTTATGCTTTATATGGCAATGAGATAATTTCACTATCATGTTAACTTGAAGTTGTTGGGTTTACGTCATCAAACAGCAATACAACAAAACAAAAGACCAAATACACATTTTTGTCTAAATTGTACACCTTACGCACGATAACGAAACAAATAATGTAATTACAATGGTTTCTATCTATTTATTTATGTTCTGGTCATAAAACACAGAATTAAAAAAAATCATAAATTATTCTATAAATAATTAACAATCAAAGTTTGTAAAACTAGTATAAATAGTGGGACTAACTAATAATGTCATCAATTATTCTCTTGTATTTCAACCTCTGAAGACGTTAGTGATGTAACTGTTAAAAATATTCTGAGCAGACGGACACGTTTTCCAATGACACCGCCTTCTAAAAAGACTTCGAGCACAGTAAGCATTCTGCACGGCCTCTACATGGAACGCCATCTTACACGAGTGAATAGACGCCTTGCATATTTGGTTTTCTGTACATGTAGTAATCTAAAAGCAAATAATAAAAATAGTATTAGACTAACGACCTTATATGTATAATTTGTGTGTAAACGGATATTCAGAACCGTCAATTTTATCAAACCTTGAAAATTTAAGCTTTGCGACTGAAAGCAGTAAAGGGCCAAGGCCTGTTGAGCGATTATTATAGCTGTAAAAATTTATGCATTTTTTCAATATAGCTGTAAAATAGATCTTATGTTATTTTTTTAAATATAGTGCTAAGATAGATTGTATTCTCTTTTTTAATATAGCTGTAAAGCCATAAAATTGGAAAATGTCCAGACACAAGAAGATTACAACAATGATAATGATAATATATATAATAACAACATCATCACAATCTCACATTAGTTCATGTTAAATTTACATACGGGGCATGCAGATACTGTTAAATGAAGACACAGTCACGTTTTCCCCCATCAATTCACATGTTTAGAACTAACTTTGTACCGAGGTTTCTAGTTTACAATATTTGTTTATCAGCATTAATCATTTTAACTTCGATTAAAAGGCGTTGCGGGATACAGGTCAATGACTGAGACGGCAACACGAAACAATTAGGGAGCTACCATTTGATTTTTATGGGGGGGGCTAGGATGAAAATTTTTGTCCTGCATTTATTTTTAAGTTGTAATCTCTGTCCTGCCTTTTTATTTTTCACTCTATTCGGTCCTGCCTTTTTTTTATTAGTTTATCCTGACTTTTTTTACATAAGTTGTCATCTTGCCTTTTTTCCCCTCAAAACTCCTGTCCTGCCTTTTTTCAAATTTCATCCTAGCCCCACCCCCTCCCATAAAAATCAAATGGTAGCTCCCTTAGACAATAAGAAAATATAATATCACGTACATCTTCAACTGTAGACCTTGTTCTCACATTGGTGTTCACATTTATACAATGCTCGGACGGTTGGTTGAAAAAAATATTTAACCATATGGTTAAAATGACTCGGGCAATTGACCTTTATCTTCATTTTCTCGTTCATTTTTACGTCACTTTAGTTTTAGCTTCGTTGGCAACGGTACCATTGATGTTCAATCTGATCATGGGGGATTTTACATGAAACACTTTAAACATATGGAAGAAACAGTCTACTTTGTTTCCTTCACGAATTATAATAGTTCTCCCCTCTCGATATTCAAAATTTTAATATGCTCTCATGTAAAAAATCTGAACTTGAAATCTATCTGTATTTGGGAAGCTTTCGAAACTCACTCGTTACAGAACGATATACATATGTGTTTGTTATTTATGCTACAAGTCAAGTTATACATCGTCATGAGTCGCCACAAAATACAAATAAATTTAACAAGTTCTACCATCAAAATCTGTAAAGGACAAATATATTTGCATTTCGTGGCGGTCAGATTTAATATTGAAAGATTCTCGCGGTCTACTATAGTTTCCGCAAAAAGTGTCAAACTCGGTAAAATAAGTCTTTTGTCATGTTGATGTATTTGTGGATCGTATTGTTCTGGTAACTTTAACTGTTTAAAATTTCCCTCTATCTGTTGTAGTTTTCAAGATAATAACCAAAGACTTCTAAATTTGCAAAAACAACAGGGGCAATAACTTCAAAACGGAGTTTTCCGATTTTCTGAAAATTCCATAGCTAATAATTTTTTCCAGTCAAATTTAGCTCTTACTGCTCTAATTTTTTTAGATAAAGATAAAAAAACAAAAACTGCATCTTACCCAGGTATGTTTTAATTTAGCCACATCGGCCATGTTTTTATGGATCACAACCCCGGATATAATTTCCAACAAGATTTCCTTAGGAACATTGCGGTAATTAACAGTTTGTAAACATAGTAACGTACTAAAATTCAACACTTACCTCGCAACCACAATTATATAATTTAGTTTTTTTAGATAAAAAACAAAAACTGCATCTTACCCAGGTATGTTCTATTTTTAGCCACATCGGCCATGTTTTTATGGATCACATCCTCGAATATAATTTTCCAACAAGATTTCCTTTAACAGTTTTTAAACATAATAACGTACTAAAAATTCAACACTTACCTCGCAACCACAATTATATAATTTATTTAATAGCGAGTTCATCTGGCATTTAGGGAGGGTTTCCCATGTGGTTGCTATGTCACATGTGCCTATTCCTAATCCATTCTCATCTCCTGGACCTAAAACAGATTTTTAATTTAAAAAATGGAAAATCTTTAAATCTTTGAAGAGTTTTTTTAATACGACATAAACATAAAACAAGTTCACAGAATGGAGCTGTTAGTAGTCATTAAACACTTACTATGACCATGATGACAAATCCTAGAATTTAGGTTAATTCACACTAAACACAAAAACCATTCGTAAACCATAAAACACTAGATTAAAAGTGGGACGGCTGAGATCTAAAAATAAAACTATTTTAAACCTCCGAATATTCAAAAAGTTGTCAGATGTCCCGTGACGTGTTGGGACGATTTACTGGTGTAGACAAGTGTCTGTTGCCGAAGACTTTGTGCATGGCCTTTAGTTACTTTTGTCGTCGGATCGATACCTGATTTGCGTATACTCCACATGAAATTTCCTTCATAATGTATCAAAAATGTAATTTCTCGGTGTACTTTTTGACAATCCCACCTTTTTGTTCCCTCAGATTTGTCATGTCGAAAACTGAATCACCAAATTGATCTTTCCATTTATTTCATTGTAGAAGACCGCCCATTCAATTAACTTTCAGAAAGAAGACTAGCAATAAAAGGTAATTCCTGTAAAACATTGGTTGATAAATGATAATTCTTGAGACAGTTGCGGCTTGTACGGACTCCTCATATTCTTTAGTTACATATACCCAACATTGTTAGAGTTCGCCTACTTACCACCGAGCAGATAATCCACGTTCTTGTCTAAAGTAATACTACACGGTATGCTGGTTTCTATGTTAATAACATTTCCTTCCGAAATACTATGTGTATTGTCCTAAAAAGAACCATATACTGTATCAACTGTATGTTTTTTTTTATATCATCGGGGGAAAAAATTATTCAAAATATGTAGATTTTACAAATAAAGTATAGCAACTATAAAAAATAATAAAACTTTGACATATTCTGATATTGCACTAATCAGCTTGGTTTATATTTGCACTTTTTTTTACCTCTCAGACTTTTGAATAAAATACTGAAAACATCCTGGAATACAATTCTTTACTATGTTTCGATTAGTATTTAGAAAAGGAAAGTAGTTAAAAAGAAATAAAACACAAAACACAAAAAACAACACACCTGTTAAGTATCGTCGCAATAGTCGGAAAGAAAAAGAGCTTTGCTTGATTTGCAAATATCCTTAACATATGTAGCTTTTGAAACCTTGTTTGTCAATCAGTGTACACTCTTTAACATTCTGTTAAGGTCTGGGACTATTATACTTTAGTTTAGTATAATAGTCCCAGTTAAGGTGCATAAAAATGTTCAATCTTTTGGTCTCGTGCATAAAAACGAACCGAATGAAGGTTATTCCATAAACACGTGTAGCGCACACGGAAATCAGTAGCATATTTGTTTACTAGTTCGTTGTTGTCTGATTTTTCCGATCTACCTATATATGAACGGTATGTAAAATAGTACTTACCTTGAACACTTTTTTTACTTTGACAGTATATATAATACTCCTCTGTTGATTGCCGGGAAGGGCCTTTACTGGCGCATTAGAGTCTATCACATCGCCACGTATAACTGAAAAATTAAAAAGATTTAAGAAGTTGAACAAAAACCATAAACCAAAGAACATCGATACAAAAATCAGCAAAAGAATAAATGGACATAAATGACCGTCAGTTTTCTCGTTTGAATATTGTTTTACATTTGTCGTTTCGAAGCTTTTTATAGCTGACTATGCGGTATGGGTTTTGCTTATTGTTGAAGGCCATACTGTGACCTATAGTTGTTACTAATTACTTCTATATCATTTGGTCTCTGGTGGAGTGTTGTCTCATTGGCAATTATAAACATCTTCTTTTTTAATTATAAAGACAACTTACTAATCCCTCCCCACAAACCCTTGAACCCCTTTACACACACACACACACACACACATAAATTAAGACATACGCATGATTTTTTGTGTTTTTTTTTTAAATATTAGCATATATTCAGTGAGTTAATGTTTCCAGGGCACAAGTCCAAGATATGTGGTGTGTTACCTACCAAAATACATAACATTTATAATTGTTATATGTGATAGTATATGAGAAATTAACTTTTTTATACTTGTTTAATAATTAAATAATTTCTTTAAAATATTAGTACATTTCTTCTATAAAAGTTAAGAATTTTTTTCATCATAAATGCAACTTCATTTTTTTTTATTCATAGCTTGAATTCTTTTAAGCATATTCACCGAGCTTTACAAATATGATAAGCTGCCTAACTTTCAATTTATTTTATGTTTGTGTTTACTTCGTTGATTTGTGAACGATTGTGAAAAGGGGGAAGCAGTTCAATTCCGGCATTCATAGCGTTGTTCAAGACTAGTAAAAATCTGGCGATTAGTCGTATTCGGTGAAAATTCACGAATAAAGAAAGAAAGGTGGTATTGTCGCAACAATAAATGAAACATATACGTGGAATCTGTGAAACACACAGTCCGTGATGGTTAACCAAGTCATGATGCTATCCATAAAACATTCAAAGACATGATTTCAACTTTGCCGTTATGAATCCTTAGTCCACTGGTTCCCAGGTACACAGCAAGTTTCTGCCTTGAAAATTCAAATAGGCAATAGCTGTGCTTGACTAATTCATCAACTGTGAGATATATAAACCATACACAGGATGCAATGTTGCTATATATATATTTAAAATATACTTTTTCACTGTTTTGGTCTTTTGGAAAATGTTGTTTGTGCTGTATTTAGACCCCTGTACCAAGAAATTTGTTTTGCATGCACACGTATAAAAATTGCGGTTTTTGTCCAATGCAATCATAGGTTTGAACGTTGTTTTCAAACCTATGATTGCGTTGGATAAAAACCGCAATTTTTATACGTGTGCATGCAAAACAAATTTCTTGGTAGAGGGGTCTAAATACAGCACAAACAACATTTTCCAAAAGACCAAAAAGTGAAAAAGTATATTTTAACAAAACGCACTTGTCTATATATATATATATATATATATATATATATACATAGTAAAGTTCACAATCGGAAAATGAAATCATTTCTTTTGTCCGAAATATAACTTCTCAAACCACCCTTTAGGTGGGACTTTATGTGTAAGTGAATCTGTTGTGAATCTCTGCTGTCCTTTATTTCAGGTTGAATAGGATAGATGAGATCCAACACACTTCTTAAATATCATGGCAATAATAAATCCGAGTTATAGTTCTTTTTACCTATTTTAAAAAATTCTTCCAGAGTATTTTCTGAATGAAACGGTGGTTATATCTAAATTTAAGCTGTGTTCTATGTATATGAGAATTGAAATTGCTTTGTTCAATGAAAAAGTTTTAAGGGTTAACAGGTTTATAGAAATCTGGTTATATGAACTTCTCTTATATGGCAGATGAACCCACACCAGTTTGGAACGGGGAGAGTACCACGCTCTCTACACGCTAAAAAGCTCTTCCAGGGTTCAGCAGGTGGTCTGTTTTTCAGCCAAAAAATTTCTGTCCGTTTCAAACATATCCTGACATTCTTAATTTACCGCCCTTCATCCCGGTCGAGACATATTGAAAAATTATACTTATGGGATTCAATGTAAATTTGTTTACAACCTAAATATGCATGTAACATATGCCACTAGACATTAATCAATCAATCATATAAGAGAAAAGGGTTCAATAAACAAATGATTTAAATCAAATTATCAATTATTGTCAACCAGTTTAACATGCATATATGATATGAAGTTTTTCAGCAAAGCAAGAAAGGATGACAAATATTTTCTGGGCGAATATGGTACAGAGAACTTATAATCAAATTTGTATTATTAATTTGTAGATTGAAACTAAAGCAAGTCTTAGAGCCTCTGGTGACCTAAAAAACTATACATACCATAGGCAGCCCTACAGAAATCTTCCTGGTGATGGCCTTTGAGACATGAACATCCATATACTGCACTGAGGGAACTTACTACTATTAAAATTTTCGTTAACAGATCAGAATCCATATTCCTATAAAACATAAAAAATGATTAAGACTAAACCAATCTTTTATTCAATGAATTATTACAAAAAGAGAGAAAAACATAATGTTTTATTCAAAAATCCAAAACCTGAATACAAATGTATCTCTATTCAACCTATTGACGTTTCTTCTATTGTATATATATTGTGAAATGGTTGGAGAAAGCAAACACTCCTCTTTAATTTTCTAGATTGTCGCCACTGCTTTTACACAGTACTGTCAACATTTTGAATTAAATATTTTTGACCTATGCATGTCTTATTCAATTTTGAAAATACTTATTATATAAATAGAAAAAAAAACTCATCTAAGATACCAGACTTAAAATTGTGTACGCCAGTCGCGCCCCCCGGGGTTTCGTCTACAAAAGACTCATCATTGACGCTCAAATCAAAAAAGTTAAAAGACCAAATCAAGTACAAAGTTGAAGAGCATTGGGAAATTAAAATCATAGCTGTATCCAACTCATTTAAACACACAAACCAAATGACCATCAATGTCCTCAGATATCTTGAGACAATTTTGCGTCTTTAGGCTTGTCTTAAAAACATAAAAAATATCTTTAAGACATGACTAAAGACACAAATCTGACACAAGATGACTGAGGTAGTCATTTGATATACAGTTTTAGTGATTATATTTTCTCTTTAATGTAAAAATTACTATATAGTCTTAAGAGGTAAGAAAACATCTACGGTATATGTGTTTCTATCCCCGTAGATAGCCGTAGCAAGATTTGGCAAAACTTTTTGAAAGTTTTGATTTTCAGTTCTCTTCAACTTCTAATTGATTTTTTTCTCCAACCAATTTGATTTGAGCCCCACTGAAGATGTGATCTTGCTTTTCAGGATACAGAAACGCCGAGCCGATCTTTTAACATGCTAGCTAATTAGATAAACAATCCGAATGAAGACATACTACAAATAACCCGGACAAATATGTTGACCAGTTGTTAACTCCAACCGTTCGAGTGAGGCAAACACGTTACCACAAGACCGACAGGTGTTCGAATCGGTATTTAAGGTACATCTAATTATGTGCATAATATACTAGTACTTACAATTTTTTTGGCATACCATTCATAAAAGTTTACCTTATTTACATTTTTGTTTTGCTTGAATCTAAATATACACTTTGTTACCTGCAAAGATCAGTACAAAATTATACAAACTATATATGTTTGTAATTCGTTTATATAGGTTGAAAGAACGTTTTTTGACAGAGTCATTTTTTTCTTCAATTTTTGACGTCTATACTTACGTTGTCATCCACATAACAATGTAGAAGTGTGGTTGATGAATCATGAAATATCATAAAACATAGAGTTGTCATTGGACGACTTTGTATCTATTTACCTATTGAAATATATGTCACATGCGACAATTAATATCTTGTCACCTATCCTAATAATGTTATTTGATTGATTCTAAAGAGAAAACTAATTTGTAAAAATCATGCAAAATATCACTTATAAAGTCATTTTCATGTTTTATGGTTTCCTCTTTTTTTATGTCATTGAATTTAACTTCCTACATACATGTTTTAGCCATCCTCTATCCTGAATAACTAGAATCTGTATTTTTAACTCTGTAGCAATTTGATTACTTTGAAGTTTATGTCAACTTGTCATGTACCAATCGTGGTCATAATATATATCATTTGAGGTTTTCTATGAAATCCATGGCTGAATAATCTTATTTCTCTTTCCGATTGTGTTGCAAAAGGAAATGAAATACACCAATCGTATTCAAGTTCGAATTATTGCACATTCCTCTTACGTTGCTTACGAAATGTATATCTTACTGGTCATCATTTAAATACCAAAAAAAACGTAATCTTTATAGATATAAAATATTATTGATGAAAATGTACCACTACACATATGCATGTTATTCTGACTGATGGTCTACTGATGATTAACTGCTGACCCTTCCTAACTCTAGGGACTGGCACATTACGTATGTGACAGGCTAAAACATGTATCTAGTGCTCAACCCTCTCCTTCACTGTTACAACGTTGTAACAACAAAATAATGCACTTGATATCACGAATATTAATTGCATGCTCTTATCTGTCATTCTATGACTGCAAATTGTGTTTTTTACACTTTTGTCTTAAAGGTGCTTTAATTTATCATTATCAGTCAAGTGGCCTAGATAAGGATTGAAAGTTTGTTGTCGTTTTTGCACTTTTACTTGCGATCAATACTAACTCCCATCAGGTATACTCTTGAAGCATAAATACAAGCTACTGGGTACCCTCGAAGCTAAAACAAAGACACATAAAAGAAACTAAGGTTTCAACTCCCTCAGGCAAAGTTGACCTTAGATGAATCTGGCTCTTTGTTTTATGTATTTTTGTCATATAGCTCTTCAACTGTTTCGGTACTTATACATCCCTCGGATTTCAAATGTTTGGCTTTGAGCGTTCCTGATGAAGGTAAATCCAGAAAAGCGCTTCGGACGCATGAAATTATTAAACGTGTTGTTTTCAATATTTTATAAAAGCTCAAGCAATCTATCACTACCTCATAGCTATTGATATTGGTAGCTTCCGTATTGGCATTAACTAAATCACACATTTAAATGGAACTTTCGTGTTATTATATTAAAACAACAATTGCAGGTCCCTTAGTTGCGATGTTGCCTAAAGCTAGAAATTTATGTGTTTCTACTGTTTGTATCCATCTGTTTATCTTTTGATCTGTCTGTCTGCTTCGTTATTTTTCACTTTCCTCATTCGTAAATGATCTCCTAGAGGTTCGTTCTTGCTTTTAAATTACTTGGTTTGCTATCTTCTACCTAATATTTGAAGCTTGAATACTTTTTGGTTTGATGCTTCCACAAGTTTTGTGCGTTTGACTTTCTATACTTTTGGTTTTGAATAAGATTTTGTTTAACGAAATAAAATAGGTATCATATTGATGGTGGTCTGCTAACTTAAAATAGATAGTGCAGTTTCAGGAGAAGAATAAATTAACAATAAATCTATAGGTAGGGTCTGCAAAGTGTGTTGTCAATGACAACGGGGGAAAGGTTGAACTGAGGGTATGATGGATAGGATGCCGAAATCTTTGCCTTGCAACAGGCCACCTACGACCCCCTTCACAGTTGTTGCAAGTGATACCCAACGAGGCATTCTCCGTACTCGAGACATCGAATTTAACATCTCCATTACAATCGGTATGCGTATTCATACATCCCTAACAGTTAAATCTGTGTAATAAATTTACTGCTGGATGGGAGGTCCAGGGATAACCATCTTTCTTCACCTCAGTCAAACCATCTTGGGAAAGATATGTGTCGTACGTTTATATTTCCAGCTCTGCTGGTAGGCTGTCAATTTTCCGAGGGTACAACTTTCCATGTTGCTTTTGCTTTCATGCTAGCATGATTTCAAAGACGTATATTTATTTAAAAATTTCTGGTTTTCTTTAAATATGTAGTTATAGTAAAACTATGACCAGCTCACTCAGTCAAAGCGGTGTGTTCTGTTTAAGCCATCTTGATTTTGATGTTCCAAAAAATTATATGTGTTAGTCTTTAAAATTTGCTCTAGACACCTAATGACGATAAGACGTGAAACACGTGTCGTGCATATGTATATTATATGTTTAGTTGTGCGGGATGTATAAATACACAGCAACATCCGGACGTTCAACTCAATTCCTCGTGCAAGGAATGTGTCACACTCTCTGCACGGTAAAGAGCCATTTGACGGCTTTGTAGATGGCTTGTTGCATGGTAATATTTCTGCCCCTATCCAACACAGCCTCATACTTAAATACGGTGTCAAACATGGATACATTACCATGAACTTTGTACCTTTACTAATTGACTGTCAGTTTCCACCAGGACTATCTTCTTAGTAGCTGCGGTACAATCATAATTTGATGTAAAAGTAAGGAGTTCTTGTGGATTCCTAAAGAGAAACCTATCTACCAGAGACCCAAAAATTAAGATGTAAACAACTAAAGGTTATTGTACGGCCTTCGACAATGAGCAAAAACCATACCGTGCATGTACAGTAAGCTATATAAAGTCCCAGCATTACATAATAAAAAACAATTCAAAAGAAAAATTCAAAGGTCTGATTTATGCTCAAAACAATAAAAGAATAGCAAATATGACAGACAGCAACCAATGACTGAATTATACACACCCCCCCCCCCCCCTAAAAATTAAAAAAAAATATATATCATAGAGTACAAGCGTACTCGCACTTACTGAAAGCTAGCTCAAAACCAATTTCAGCTAGTAAATCATTATTTTTTTCCAAGAATGAAAAATCAATCAGTACACATCCAACGTATTAGTTAAAATTCTAACAGACGTCATAATCAGTCTGAGTTAAGCATGACCAAGTTAGTGCAATGCCAAAAATAAAAGTATCGACAGGGTGTATGCCAATAGTGTTTCTCTTATGGCTGTGGCCTGTTATCTTTCATGAAGAGATATTTCTCGTATCACATTGCACGGAGTGTGATACCAAAAAGTGATTCGAAAACTGCAGGCATGCGTTAATTTGATTGGCTTATCTAGCACCATGAGACAATATTACGACGTTTCCGTTGGCTATTAGTTAGATCATTGATGACTTTAAAAGGTTAAGACGATGGACATTTCGTCCGTTGCAACGGACATATGTGATTTCTTTAATGATATACAAAGCACTCACTCTTTTCACCTGAAAATCTTCCTTTAGTCAAATTTTATTACATTCTAAAGCGTTAAAGAGTTTTAATATGTCTGATGTTAAAGTTTGACGCTGGGACAGGCCTGACATGCAATTTTTTTAGTTTAACACAAATTGAGAGTGTTGATCATGAAAGAAATAGGTTTAACAACTCGTGAGAATTGTCGGGTGTCGTTCGGTATATCAAGAAAAATGATCGTGAAAGAATAACTAGCGGTGGCCAAGCATTGCGATCGGATCATGAAAGCTCTGGTATCGGGTCGTGAATGCAATTACGTGTAATTCTACTTCAAAATCTGTGAAAAATCTGCTGTATTTTCAAAAGGTGGAACAAATCAGCAAAAAGAAATATGTCCGTCAAAATAATTCAACTTCCTTAATAATACTATGTTAAAGAAAATGCAGCACTTTTTAAGAAAACACAAAAAGCGACACACGAATGTACAAGTTATAAGTGAATTTTAGTCAAATTTTGTACAAGCACTTTTTGTACAAATTACTGTAACAATTTGTACAAAGTCAAAATACACAAATTATAATTTGTACACAACATATATATCTATATCATTATTAAATCCTGAACGTCATAATATAGTACAACGTAGGTACTTAAACGAAAATAAAATAAAATTGAGAATGGAAATGGGGAATGTGTCAAAGAGACAACAACCCGACCATAGAACAGACAACAGCAGAAGGTCACCAACAGGTCTTCAATGCAGCGAGAAATTCCCGCACCCGGAGGCGTCCTTCAGCTGGCCCCTAAACAAATATATATACTAGTCGACTTCCGGATTCTCATTTATCGATTTAATTTTGGACGGTATTTCTTAATGAAACAATTTTCTTTATTAATTCTCATTGTTTCCATTGCTTTATCTGAACACTGATAAAATGGAAAAATAAAGAAATTTGGATGATTTAATCCTGTCCATAAATCAATATGATCGCTAAGTGGAATTTTTCTTGTACTTGGGACTCGAATTTGCTGTCTATGTACTGTTATTCGTTTAATAATGGTGTTGCCGATTTGTCCAATATAATTTTCTTTGCAACCACTGCAAGTTATAATATATAAAAGGTTTTCCGATGACATGTAAAACTGTTCTTGATTTAAAAAGTGTGTCCGGATTTAAAAACGAATACATATATAGAGACCCATATTGAGACTTGTTTTCATTTAAGAGGCAATGCTAACTAGGCATTCAAGATAATAAGATACCAAAGAGCGTAAATTGTCGAAAAGTAAATATCTTTGTATTTATAATACTAAATGCATCCACGAATGAGTAAAGCGAGAGGGGGTCTGGTGGTCTTTCCCTGGAAATATCTTAATATGTATGTTTTCGTTTTCGTAAGGGTTAGATCAAATAAGCTGTATCATTTAATTTTACATACAGGTATATTGTATATATTCTTTCCATTAACAATACAGACTTTTCTGATTGGGTCCCAGTAATAATCCTGAACTACAGACACCATATATACAGCTTCCTCAGCCTCATTTTTAGATATATATATATATATATATATACGCCGATTACAGCGGTCATCTCAATACCTGAGTCTATGACAAACGAAATAATTTCAATTTTGAAATTATAAATTTTCTTCACCTTAGCAGCATATACATTATACATTTCTCAACT